AAATCTCGAGGATCAGAGGGGAAAACTGGAAGGAGTCGGAGGTATCTTTTATCCTAAAACATTCACTTGCTTGCTTGTATTTAGTAGTAGGAAGTAGGACGTGAAGCCTCTCATATTTCTGAATGTATGTATGTGTATATACATACATGTGGAGAGTTGTATAATTTGATCGCTTGACAATTGGAATTAGCAATTAACAAGTTTACCAGAACCGACATATTTCAATTTATTTATCTTTGATAGACCATGCAAAATTAAGCAACAACAAACATGAGAACAATTCATACCATAAAATTTATTCTTATTTAATATAAATAGTGAGGGTCAATTGGTCATTCACCTCCTCCCACTAGACGCCTTCGAATCTGCATGAATACATATAAGAAGCATTAATTTCAAAACCGGTAAACCATTTTAACCGTACATGCAGTAGCAGTACTAGGAGTAGATATATACCGCAGGTAGTTTCTGTTTGAAAGCAACTTCAAGGCGTGCATCTAAAGTGTTCTCGAAAACAATCTTCCCGTCTTCCGAAGCTAGCACAACTCCCCCCGAGCTATACATCATCGTTCATCGTAAGATATATGATAAAACAAACCGAGCAATGCATAGAAATCAAGATTAGTTGATACCAATAAGGTTGATGGGTGAAATCGTTTGCATCTGCAGGAGGCGGCGGCGGGAGGCTTACATGGTCGATGACAATCTTGGGGGAAGCTACATTGAATTTCTCGGCGTACTCTCGTTTAGCTTCATCGATGATAGACTCAACCAGCTTACGATCCACCTCTCGGCACCTCAGTATCACCGATGGCTCCCTGAGCCGAGCCAGACTCTGTAGCACCAGAGCCTTGACCAGGTTCTTGTATCCCCTCTTGTCATTTCCCAGACGCTGCAGTTCCTTTCTCGCAGTTTCTTTATGGAGTTCACCAACTCGTCCTGTGCTTGCAGCACTTTGATTCTCGATGCATTTAACTGCATCGAGTATTCGCTGCAATGCACATCCATTCATTGCATCAATCAAACATGTTGAAAATAAATTAAACAATACATTACAAATACTAAAGTCACTCACATTTTCTTCCGTATTTCCACCTGCTTTCCCTTGCGCTCATACTCTTGTTTAATCTTTCTCCTTTCAGCTTCTACTATTTGCAGCTTTTCAATGTTGAATTCCTGGTGATGGACATTTTATTCAGATTTCAAATGAATAATATTATTTTATATCAAAAGTAATCTTAACGACCTCTTCAGCAGACACGGCTATCTCATTGGCTTTCTCCTCCGCCTCTTGGCGGATGAATCTGACCATCTGCTGGATTTGCTTCGACACATCTCCGTCGTTCATTATTTCTGATTGCTTTTGTTAATTTACGTATACAAATCAATCAAATATAGGATTTGATGGAAGAATGGGACTCTTTCTCCTTTTGTCTTTTATATTTTCTATTTTGCCAAGTTAACAAAACTGCTTCCTTCCCCTTCCCGAAGCCGAAATTTCCTGCCTTGAATCATTCCAAATTTTGAATGACATTATGAATAAAAATAAATGTGTTTTAATTATTTCTCCCAACAAAATTAGTTTAATCCATTTGTCTTTTTTCACAGTTATCTATTTTATTATTAGTACAAAATAAATATAAGATAGCGTATATTCAAAGAACAATCTCAACCATTTGATATTGAACGTACTCTTGATATTTCTGGTGCCTGAATTTTATGCTTTTAAAGATTTTACTATAAAATTTTAAAATATTTTCATTTAAATATTTAATTTTAGTTTTGAATTCGACTATTAAATCATCAAGGATTAGATAACGTTATAGTTTAGTCTTGATGTGGAAGTAAAAAATTTATTCTTTTATTTCATCTTATCTTTTTTTATTCAACAAAGCTAGGTTTTTTCCATCTATTTTTAGTTGTTGTCAGAAAACGTCATTTATCGATGTCTTTTACGACCATTTTGACATTGATGAACTCGTTTCATTGTACTCTATCAAAATATCGGTTTAATTTGTCTCAAAATCATTTTAAAAACATAAAATTAAGCACATAAATTCACCGTTTTGAGGGGTTTAGAAACTTTCTCAGGTTTGAGGGCAGTGGCGGATCCACATATACGTGTTCACTATGAAATTCTAATTTTCTTCAATCAGTAATCTATTTTATTGATATTGTCGATCCTAAAATTTTATTTGTGTGCCCATTTAAAAGTTTAGTGTTGTTAACATTTATATGTCCACCATAAAAAATATTTCTGAATCCACCACTATTTAAAGGTTTGAGGTATTTCAAATGGTGAGATGCATTTATTTGAGAAGATACCAACACACCTTAAAACTAGCATAATTATAAGATTTTAGAGGAGATCAAAACAATAGAACGTTATACTTTTAGATATATTTTCATCAATTTTAAATGTGTTTTGTAGAAAAATCAATTTGAGGAGAAGATAGAGGAGTGAAATACAAATATTTTTATATTAAGGCCTAATACAAAAATAAGTGCCCTGCCTACGTATCAAAAAACGTTTTAGTGCCTAAAGAATTTTTCGTTAAAAATAGGTGTCTGACATTTTCTTTGTTACTATTTTCGTTAATACAAAAATAACACCGAAAAAAATTTATGTTAAGAGACACGTGTCAAGTTCTACTAATTTTGAAAAATTTTATTTAAAATAAAAAAACCTAATTTTTTCAAATCTTAAAAAACACCCAAAACTTTTAAAACTTTAATTTTAATCTCTTTGCCACAGTCGACCACCACCAACGTTGTCAATCAGTCGAACACCCAACGATGTGTGACCGGCCAACCACCCACAATGAAAACCCCATGCTTTTGTAACCGATAGAACACCAAATCCCCATAAATCTATAAATTCTTAAACATAAACCTTTAAAACCCTAAAACAAAATATTTCATTTATACTGTCTTTGGATGTTCGATCGAATACGAAAGTATGGGGGTTTTGGTCGTGGGTTGTTGGCCGGTCACACGTCGTCTAATGTTCGATCGATTAACGACATTGATGGCGAACAACGATGGCAACGAGATTAAAATTAAAGTTTAAAAAGTTTTGGGTTTTTTTTTAAGATTTGAACATTTTAAGTTTTTTATTTTATTTTTATTTTAAATAAAAAATCTCAAAATTACCAGAACGTGACACATATCACTTAACTGAGATTTTAATGGAGATTAACATCTGGGCACCTAAAATGGTAACGGAGAAAACGTTAGGCATCTATTTTTAGCGAAAAAATCTTTAGGCACTAAAATATTTTTTGAGGCATAGTTTAAGCACTTATTTTTGTATTAAGCCTTATATTAATATTGTGAATGACAATTAGTAACATACAACGATTAATCAACAACAACGACTGAAGGAGTTGACGATTTTCTGCAAGGAACAAATAGATACATAAACTAAAATTTAATGTTTATAATTTAACAACAAAATCAATATACAAACTAAAGATAACAAAAAAAAGATACAAATATATCATCACATCGTTAACGATTTAACCTCTCAGTGCCCTAATTGAATTTAAATCTAAAATTTAGTATTGAAATTGAAACACTTTAAAATTTAATGATAAAAATGATACACAACTTAAAATTTAATAATATTCTATATAATATACTCAAAACTAAATAACTCAATTTGTTTTGTATCAACTTTATAAGTGGTGTTTTATTAAATTTATTTTGATGGATGACGGCATGCACATAATTTGGTTTTAATTAATGTTCCATACTTCCATTAATGGGGATGTCTAAGGAATTGTGGTCAGGATTATGATCCATTAATGTAGCACATTATTGATGTTTAAGTGAAGGTAGAAGAGACAGGGGGCCATGGCCTCCTCAAAAATATTAAAAATAATATATATATATAGGGTAAATTATAAGTTTAGTACCTGACTTAATACTATGTTCTATTTTGGTATTGAAACTTTATTTTTTTTCAAAATCATACTTAATGTTTAGTTTAGATTTTATTTTGATAACGTAATGTTTAGTTTATTTTTTTTCAAAATCATACTTAATACTTAATGTTAGACATGTCATTTTTATTTTGTTTACAATGATTACATGGCACTACCTTATGGTGACACATCAACATCACTGTTAAGTTTTTAACAGCGGAGTAACAAAATAAAACCTAAACTAAACATTGGGTATAATTTTGAAAAAGAAGTTTATGTACCAAAATGAAACAAAAATAATAGTTTAGCTATTAAATATGTTGTTTACCCTATATATTTTATACACATATCATATATAAAAATTTATTAAATTATTAAGTTTAACCTTCTACAAAATTGTGTATAATAATTTATTAAATTTGATTGCTAAAAAACGCATATACTACTTTGAAATTTGAAAATCACTTAAATATCATTTGTTGAAAAGATTTAACATTTATTTTTTGTATTATTATTTTATTTTTAAATGAATGAAAAATCATTTTACTTTGTATTTTTTATTTCAACATATAATTTTTAATATTTTTTCTTGTTTGGTTGTTCGTCTTCTTCTAGCTGTTCATTTTGTTTGAATTGAGGACTTCATTCAATTTATCAAATATTCAACTTTTAATTTCATTTTAGTTGAATTGAATTTTTTAAAAGTATTTTTAATTTAATTTATAATTATAATTTTATTTTAAATATTTATATTTATTATGTGTATTCGTGAATTTTCATCTCTACAAACAAAATTTTAGATAACATTATTATAAATACATTTTGTTTCTTTGAATTTTTATATGAACAAATAAATTTTAGGGATTTATAAAATTTTCTTTTATTAGTATAGTATTTTAATATATTAACTTACACTAAAAAATATTAAAATATTTTAATTAATATAAAAAAATTAAATGACCCCCTCATAAAATAGAGCTGAGTTCCGCCACTGTAGAAATCTATACGAAATAAAACATAATAATATGTTTTAAATTAATATATACATTGAGAAAACAGTATTCCCCTGGTTGATTAAGGAACACAATACATAGGACTAGGGAGTTTGAATGTGCGATTGCCCGAACATTCCCCTTTGAAAGCTTCCGTCCTGGACATAGTCAAATTCAAATAAGCTTCCTGGAAATTCCCCAGAAATGAATCTTTATCTTACCTGAAAATCACCCTTTTATAGCCCATGAATCCTTGGCTATGCAAATTATCAATGGTGGCAGTGGCTAAGGTCTCTTCGTCTCTTCCGGTGATCAAGAACACCTTAAATCCGCTGTCCACCAGCTTCTGAAACAATCCCAGTAGAGCAGGGATTTCTGGACACTCGGCCTTCATTGCCCATGCCTTGAAACCCCAGGGGTCATAGGGCTCACACCTATGTATATACAAATAAGAGAAAGTACGGAATTTGTAAATTAAAATGAAGGTATTATTAGTGCCCATATTTCTTTCTTTTGTAGTAAAGTATATTTGGTACGCAGGTGTCGTCTACGTCAAGGATCCAAGCATCCATGGCATCCTCATCCACGGTAACTTCTGCAACGTAATTCTGTATTTGTTCCACGACATAGTTAACGTCCTGCTCGTATTGCCCGCCGGTCATGTAAGTTTCGATGTGGTGGAGGCAATGAGCCGGCACCGTGCGCCATCCGCGGACTTTGTTAGCCTCCACGGCTAGCTGCCAGGTCAAGCGCTCGTTTAATCTGTCAGTTGCCCTCCTCGTTCTCCAGAAGGGATAAGAGCCGATTGCCTTGGAAAATATTGCTAAGAAGAAAAATATGAATATCTCTCTCATCCACTTCACCATTGATGATACCACACAAAGCTCCTGCTTAAACAAAACGCAAAATCAAAAACTTTAGTTCCATCGAATAGTGATCATATCTTGGCAATAATAAAAAGACATAAAGATCATTATGAGAGTATTGCAAATGTAAGCACATGAACAACTCTCGAAGACAAAGATGGTGATAAGGGATTTGGAGAGGGTGGGTTTCTGGGGTTTTATATATATAGTCAATAAACAATTGTCATAAACAAGTAAACGGACATAATATACAGGTCTTCCTACAGTGCACAAATTAGCAGCAATGGCAGCCTGATCAGTGTGATGTTTGTAACACAAAATGATAAAAGCAAAACAAAATAAAACCATGGATCTGTAGCACAAGATGAATAAGTTGAGGCTTGGAATTTTACCTAATCAAAGTAAAAGAATGAGATGGAGGGTGGAGGGGAATGCAGAAAGCTCAAGAGAGAGGCGTTATAAATAATAAGGCGCTGGTGGAAAGCCAAAAACGTGGGTGGGTTTGTCGTCAGAGAGCATAAAGAAAGGGAGCAGTGAAATGGAATTTGATGATCGACAAGAATGAAGCGCCAGCGCCACCGTCGAGTAAGGTAAAAAAGTGGGGTTGGAGTCAGAGCCCATCCACTTTCACAAAGAACTCGACTCTGGCTCTGGGGAGCTGTGTATCATCATGCATGCCTTATTCTTTACTACTACGCCTCTCTTTAATCACGCATTTATATATATTAATAACATAAAATGTTTATATCTTAAAACAACTACACCGATATTGTGTCCATCTTCATTGAGTGCATTATCTGTGATTATTATACATTAAAAGTCAACAATGTGCGAACCATTCCATGTTCGGTGTACCGATTTCAAGCATTATTTCCAACACTCGTTAATTCTCATTTAATTAGGTGATGGAAATGAAATATTGACTTGTTAGGTCATAATATCAATTCCCCAATGGGATGGAGAGTGGACAAGTGATTGAATCTCCCAGTAATTTGATTGGTTTGTCGGGGAGAAAAGTGGTAGTTAATTAGATACATGAACAATTAACTAAAAAATGGATATGCGTTGGAAACACGTAGTAATTTGATGTAAAATAAATCAAAATAATATAAAACTAAAGTTGACCCTACTGGTAGTTGTAGTAATAAAGCAAAGCAATGGAATAAAGGTGAGAAGGATTAAAGTCAAGCATATTGGATTGGATGAATGAGATAACAATAATGGAAGATGAGATAATAGAAGAAATTTATTTACATATATCCAACAAAATTATACTAATCGCATAGGGAGGATCTGACGTGAAGCGGTTAAAATACGGTGTGACTGGTTAAATAGGTGATTGGTTATATGTTTTCGCCGAAAATGTTATTTATGTTGTTAATAATAATGGTAATAAATGGAAATGTTATCATTGTATGTAAAATGGGTCAAAAAAATAGACTTTAATAATTTAGGTTAATTACTTAAAATATTATCAATCGTAATAACATAATAGGTTGCATCTATTTAACGTAATAGATTGTGTCTGTTTAAAGCTGATGAAGTCTTAGAAATATGAAAATAACTAAATAGTTTAATTACTTATTTTATTATTAATATTATCAACATATTATGTAGCGCCTAAAATGTTACTAAAATTTAAGTTGATAGGGCCTTAGAAATCTCACTATAACAAAATAAGTTAATTACTTATTTTGTTATAAATATTATCAACATATTAGGTTGTGCTTAATATGCTACCAAACTTTAAGCTGATAGGGCATTCGAAATCTCACGACAACAAAATATGTTAAATACGTATTTTGTTATAAATAAATAACATACTAGATTGCACCCAATAATATTATTGTGAATAAAGAAGTAGGTTGCTATCTGAAATATTAAAGTTGCATTTAATAAATCAGTATCGATTTAACATATTACGTATCTTTGGATGGAAATTATTTTTAAAATAAATATTGATACTATTATGATCTGATGGTCGATACTTTAGCAAATATTGATATTGTTTTCTATGAAGTTCAATATTTTAAATATCCAAACTCTTAAACTCCGTATCGATACTTAGTGTAGATGTATGGAAATTATTAATACCGATACTTAGTGTATATGTATCGATACGTATTCATGAAAATTATTAATATCCTGCATCGATACTTTAGAATTTTAGATTTTTGATGATTGTTATCGAGACTTTAAATGAAATTAAGTTGTCCCTTATTCTCATATGTAATGGGATAAGGGGGAGGTAAGATAGTAGGCTGCCCCCAACGTCATGTTGAGAGCAGCTTCCGTGAAAGACCTCCAAATTATGAAATGCCCTCCGTGGGACTCGATCCCACGACCTTAAGGTTAAGAACCTTGTGCTCTACCAACTGAGCTAGATGGTCATTTCTGTTATCGAGACTTTAACATTTGAAAATTTTGATAAATGTTAAAATATCGATAATTGATATATGATGTATCGATATTTTTGAAAAAGTTGATGAACTCCACCCCTCACATCAACCTACAAATATCGATACTTTTGAATTAAAAAAATATTTCAAACAGTTAAGTTGTAAATATTTTACCGTTTACATTATTATTATACCTTTAAACAAACCGGTAAGTAGTTTAGCGTAATAGGTAACAGTTATTTTATTTTAACCGGTTAAATTGTAAATATTTTACTGTTCACATTAATATTATACAATTAAATAAATGATAGGTAGTTTACCGTAATAGGTAGCGCTTATTTTATTTTAACGTGTTACATTATTATTATACCTTTAAACAAACCAGTGGGTAGTTTAACGTAATAGGTAGCGCCTATTTTATTTCACAGTTTACATTATTATTATACCTTTAAACGAACCGGTAGGTAGTTTAACGTAATAGGTATCACCTATTTTATTTTAACCGGTTAAGTAGTAGATATTTTACCGGTTACATTAATATTATACATTTAAACAAACCGATAGGTAGTTTAACATAATATGTAGCGTTTATTTTATTTTAACCGGTTAAGTTGTGAATATTTCACCGGTTACATTAATATTATACATTTCAACAAACCGATAGGTAGTTTAACGTAATATGTAGCGTCTATTTTATTTTAACCGGTTACATTATTATTATTATACATTTAAACAAACAGGTAGCTAGTTTAACTTAATATGTTGCGCTTATTTTATTTCACCGTTTACAATATAATTATAACTTTAAATAAATTAATAGCTAGTTTAACGTAATAAGTTGCGCTTATTTTATTTTAACCGGTTAAATTGTAAATATTTTAACGTTTACATTATTATTATACCTTTAAACAAACCGGTAGCTAGTTTAACGTAATAGGTATCGTCTATTTTATTTTACCGTTTACATTATTATTATACCTTTAAACAAATCGGTAGTTAGTTTAACGTAATAGGTTGAGCCTATTTTATTTCACCGTTTACATTATTATTATACCTTTAAACAAACTAGTAGTTAGTTTAACGTAATAGGTTGCGCTTATTTTATTTTAACAGGTTATGTTGTAATTATTATTACACTATCGATATTTTTATAACAACATTTTAATGAAAATTTTCAAATAAGTAACTTTCGATCTTTAACTTGAACAATTTTTTCAAATAAGCAAGTATCAATATTTTAATTTTCATCAACTTTCTCCAATGTTAAAGCATGAAACATAATAGAAAAAGTATCAATATTTTTTCCATTTAACAAATGTTAAAGTATAGACTATCATATCGTAGTATCGATATTTATTTTAAAAAAGTTTGTTACTTTGCAACATTCTCATTTTCTATCTATTTTTTAAATTCGAAAATATTGATATTTGTGGAGAAATATTGAAACTTTATGGCATTCTCATTTTTCATTTTTTTAAATTTGAAAGTATCGATATTTGTAGAAAAATATTGATATTTTGCGGTCTTATCATTTTTCATATCTTTTTAATTCGAAAGTATTTATACTTGCAAAAAAATATCGATACTTACCGATCAGATAAGCTTACTAGTTACACCATTATAATTAATATATTATGTATAAGTCAATGTTTTCAATTACATTAAACTAATTTTACTAAAGTTCTTTTCAAATTTTGGATTTTACTATTTTTTAATCTTATATATTAATCTACCTCTTCTTAGGGCTGTTTGTTTACTTCAGAATGATTAAGCACTGAATAATTCAAATGCTGAATGATTCAGAGACTCTGTATGAATTAGCTCTGAATGTGACATGTTGTTTGATAATGGTTCTGAATCATTCAGAATATACTTCTGTGCTGAATCATTCAGCACTGTTTTGTTGTATCAGCCAGCACTGAATCATTCAGAGGTGCGAAACAAATACGCTGAATATTAAACAATTTAACATTCAACGCTAAATAATTCTATTAAGAGACAAACAAACATCCCTTAGACAATCCCATTGCATCTCCCACCAAATGATTTCCAAAATTAAAGTCAACCACCGAATCTCTACCAATTGATACACACTATATGTCAGTTCTGCACCAATAAATATAGATGGGCTCTTTTATTCACTTAAAATTAAAAATTAATTCATAACAAACGTATTTGTATTAGAAATATCTTTTTATAAAATTATATTAAAAATTTAAAATTATAAAATTAAATCATTAATCAAAATATAAAACATTATACACATTATATAAAAATTTAAAATTTTTAGAAGTACTACCATCACTTAATATCCACTCGAACTATCCTTGAAATTAATACTTTTCATTTAATGGTCACTGAAAATATAATAATGAAGATCATCCCAGAATTTTTGAAGATTTTTCATCTGGAAGTTTCCATAAGTATGAGTTTGAATATAAGTTTACATATTTTATAGTGAATTATATCAAGGACTTTGATTTTGAATAAGGGGAAGAGTGTCATGATCGTACAATGGTCAATCTGATTTTGATGTCAACTAACGTCTTTTGTCACTTCAGATTTGTTTCAATTGTCATGAGTTTGTGTGACTTGTAAATT